TATTGATCTTCGTACTTCGGAGTATCTTATTCAACCTGGGATTGTCGCAGTGTCTCAACATGACTTTCAACAGCCAGCACATGAAAGCCTGTAATTTACATTACAATATTTAGTTGCTAAGCAGCCACTTTTATCCAAAGCACCTTACTAATTTACATTTTTTTCTGTGGAGTCGATTATAGTGAATTTTTACGCTTCACGGAACCTCGGCGGGGGAGCGGAGCCGTTTTGGAGAGGAGGGGAGTTTCTCTTCATCACTAGTGCTAAGTTCACCATGACAAAGACGTTTTTAGCCTGACGTAGCGGTGAGCCGCCTAGGCACCTAGTTGCTCTTTCCACACAGTCTCATGTCTGCCACCTTCTCCGTTCCAGATCACCAAGGCCGTCCCCTCCTCTCCAACCAAAGACAGGAAGAGAGATGTGGGTTCCCCTCAGCGGGGCCCCGGAAGCCCCCTGCGAAGGAACAGTCGCAGCGAGAGACGGTATGTGTAGGTGTCATGGGTTCTGTTGGTGCCAATGATCATCTTTGTGGTGCAACAGGACGTAACATGTCCCTGCAGCTTGGTTACGTCGCCCAGGAGTCACGGTGATCTGCAGTTAATCCAGATTAATTATTTGCTGCTTGACAAATTTCAGTTGACAGGTGTGGCATACTGCTCATCTTCTGCGATGACCATAGTAATGGAGCTTAGCCATTCAGTACGATGCTCAACTTTGTTGGGGGAGGGGGGGGGGATGCAGGCCGGCTTTCCGTCTTCCGTTTGTTATGCCTTTTGAACTTGTGTTTGTGTGCAGACCGTCAGGTGAAAAGAAGCCGATTGACCAGAAGCCCCCTGCCGACGTTAATGGCTACCAGATTCGTGTATGAGGAGGGGTAGCCCCAGTCTCTCTGCTGCCTCCAGAGGCTGGGAGGACTGCAGAATGCGGCGAGAGAGAACGAACTGGAAACGACTCTAACTCATCAAGTGTCTCTGTGCCACCAGCACCCCCCTACACACTAGAGGAGATGGTACCCTTTCAAGGTGAATATTTAATGGCTTTATAAGACAAACTTGTTAAAGAACCAGTTTTGTTTTTCTTTTAGTTCCATCACTTTTCACATAGTTTGATTACTTGATGTGAACTTTTGGATAACTTTTTTGGAACTGAAGTGTTCAACCAGTCAGCGTTTCAACTATCCTTGCAGACAGTCTGTAGAGTACACATCTTTGTGTCAATCTTGATGTATATAAATGCGATTAATCTTTAGCTCTGCTGGACAGTAACCAGGCTTTTGTAGAAACTAGTTTTCAAGCCAAGTCTTTGGTGCCTTTGATTTAAAACTCAATGGGTAGTGAACAAAACATGCATGTGTGAGCCAGGACACTCAGACATGCTTGCAGAAAGCTAAAGTACAGACTTTAGTGATTTGTAGGGACTAATCACTTTAGAACATGCACACCTCAAGAAGTGTGGGAAGGATTCAACAGGACACACCGTCGGTGCTCACAACTAGTCCAACAGGTCAGGACAGAACAATCTTGATACAGTCCCACTATGGGGAATTCCACACCCTATTGAGGCTGTTTAACACATAGGTAGCATCACAGCGACACCGTGTGGCTGGTTTCTTACCTGCATCCCAAGTACTGAATGTATAGGACATATATCTGGAATTTAAAGTTTTGTCCCAATCAGTCCCCCACCCTGACTGACTCTCCATTCACCCTTGAGCCTTTTGCTTTATGAAGGATCTGTGATCAATTCAATTCTCATTGAGACCGACAAACCAGCTCTTTGTTCAAAAGGATAAGGTCCATATCATATGGATGTTCTCTAGAACATCCTCCTCCAATAGACTGCACTTCATGGGTACTGTTGAGTTCCAGGAGCATGTATGGAAAAAGCTTTTCTGTAAAATGTTTCTTTGGAAAGGTGTGTGTTTACTACCTGTGTCTTAAAGGCAACTTCAAGCAGTGATCTAGTACTTCTCAGTATTTACCAAGGTTTGTCAGGTCTTAAGGTGCAAAACAGTTCTTTGTTTACAATGTTTACGTCTGTATTTTTTTAACACGCAGCACAGGGACCCTGCTGCTGTTTTACACATTATTATACATAGTGAGGCCTAGCAGACATATACACTGACTAAGAAAGGAAGGTTAGATGCGGTTACAGTTAATGAGATCTGTTTACTACACAAATGCAGCTGGTTTTCTGGAAGATGCACTCAGTCATGCCAGTCAGCCCAAGTTTTATACAAATAGGGGCAAAATTACATTTTGTTTAGCTGCTTCATCATTCAATGAAAAGCTTCCTTGGTGACTGGGGAGCTTCTCTTCAACCAAAGCCTTTCTCTGGAATGCAGATGAGTGTCTTCTTTTTAATGCCCTCACTCCATTTCGGCAGGGCGTGCAGAACTCGGGCTCAGCACCCAGAGAGACTTTCTGTGCAAGCAGGTGTCTGTTTTACGACCAGAACAAATAACTGGGTAGAAGCCGAATGATCAGGTGTCCTGACTTAATTTCGACCCTGTTCATTGGGCACCAATTTGAGCCTCGTTCCCTGGGTCCTGAGATATATCTAGCTCCGTTTTCTGTGTTCTGAAACACACCGGGATCCGCTCCTTGGTTCAGAAACAGTGGAAAGAGCTGTGGCGTTTTGATGCCATGCGGCCCCCACGTCGACATTCACTTCCATTCGTGCTTTGTGGCAAATCGCTAATCCTGCTCTACTATGATGGACGGGGAGGAAAAACAGACTTTTGGTCTTACTGGCAGACTATCAAAACACACGGACGCAGCGTTTAATTGTTGAGTTTGAGACACAGCTTCCAGAAACCAGACGGCAGATTTGTGGCTTTTTATACACCGTGCTGTTACTTCTTTCTGAGTCCAAAAAAATATGTTACGTGGAGCTACACAGCAATGAAGCGGTCACATGTTCTTAGTGAGTACTGTGAGATCACCAGTACTATTCTTTCACACAAACAGTAATAAAAATTAATTTTCCTATGTTTCACAGTTGACTCCTGACTTGTTTTACATAACCACTTGTCCAGTGTTGGGTTGAGGTAAGGCTGGAAGCTTGTTCTCAGCAGGTATGGGGAACAGGGACTGGGAGACCTTGGACAGGAGGCCAGTCTATTACTGGGCTCACACAAAGAGAGACACCAATACATCTTTGGGTTGTGGGAGGAAGCCAGGGTCCCAGGGAAACCCATACAAACATGGAGAGAACGTGTGCAAAGTTCACACATGCAGAGCTTGGGTTTGGTGTTAAAGCCACAGTGCTGAAGGTGCAAGGTCACAGTGTCACCCATTGTGCAATCCCAACTGCTCACTGTGATGAAATCATTACACACTTTACCTCTGTGATTTCATTTCCACAGGGAGATGAGCTTGTGTTGAATTTGGACACGAGAATTCCTCCATTTTTGGTGTGGCATCTATTGAACACATTTCCTGTCCTGTTGAATCCTGATGCAGGATCGCAAAATGAGATCTGTCTACAGGATTTTACAAAGTGTCGGTTTTATGATGAATGACAATATGAATTTCTTTTTCTTTTTGGAGAGATCACTGAAATGCACGTCTGCCCCTAATGCCTAATTTTGTCCACCACAGTATGGTCACAGTCCCAGATATGCCGCAGAATCAGTTACCTTCACTGGATGCCTGACAGCTCCGATCCACAAATGTCAGCCTTGACTGATGAGAACTTGCTGACCTGACATGACTGCTATCCAATTAGATGAGTGGGAAAGGGGAGGGGGCTGAGATTAATAAATGTGTTCTAGGCGAGCAGGGAAAGCTGCATGGGGGGAGGGCAGAAAAGGGTGAGGAATATATGATTGACTGACGGAGAAAACACCATCCCCCACTGCAGGGCTGCTGTCCTCCAGAGAGCTCCCTGCTATAGTCAGTGCTGCTTGCTGAAATGTTACTCCAGTGCGAATCCTGTATATCCAATATCCAGAATGTGTGTGTGTGTGTGGGGGGGGGGGGGGGAATGGGGGGTTCACACATTCCCCTTTCACCATATTTCCCTCTGAAAAATGTGGGAGAGTAGGAGGATTGGTGAACATTAACCTACTTTGAGACCATGTTGACCCAATTCTGTAGAACGAGTAGGGGTATCCCTGGGGATTCGGGCTGTGTGCCCCTGGAGCACATGCCATGGGCTTAGCTTTGTGAAGGGACTCCTCAGGAATGGAGCCAGCCCAGTTGGGGGGGGGAGGGTTAGGGGCAACAGGCAAGAAAATCACCAGATCTAAAGGCCTTTCCACAAAAGCAGCACCTGCTGGATGATAGGAGAACCTTCACTGCATCTCATGAAACCCTTATTGCATGCTGCCCACCGCAGCCTTTAAAGCCGTTTTCTTACATGCGAGATTATCAGCCAAAACCCGCACCAGGAGCAGAAACACCTCTTATGCTTCAATAAATAATGAATCCCACACATCTCCAGGACATTAAGTTCAAACTGGGACACTGACAGGTGCAAATAAGGACCAGAATCTTGCATAATCTGAGGTATCAGAGATGTACATTTTTACAAAGGAGGTGACGGACATCCGGAGGCATTTTTGGAGTTCAAGGTTCTTCTGAAGGTCAATAATGGATTTGTACTTATGACTTCACTTGTCTGTACTCGGTGTTAGAGCTTTGTGCCAAATTCCATCCCCTGGCCCAGCCCAACAAGCTTGCCTCAGCTCTTTCCCTCCCATGAGTGTGCTGGGAGTGGGGAATACATGTTTTATGACAGGAACTACAAAATGGTTACAAAGAAAGCATTTACACATTCTCATACTGTAAATGTAGATGATGATAAGCCATCATAATGCAAAATGGAAATACAAAATACCCACACAGTGCTTTCACAGTGGAAGGACACTGTGGCCTTTTGATACTGATCTGGTTTGATTGGATTCCTACCTCTCTGCTGATGTAGCTTCTCGAAACTTCATCTTTTTTTGGATAATGTTTCTGATGCAAATCTTTTAAAGGACCATCCAACGTCTGTTCCTTCACAAAAACTTTTATGAACAAGGCTTGACTGTGACAGACCATAGACTGTCTGACTTAACATAATACGTTGTTCATTACTTATTTTACAGGGGTACGTAATGGGAGTGACCTTCCATATATAACAATGGAGAGGAACCAAGCAAAAAAAGACTGAAATATGCGCAAACCTTAATTAAACCAGAAGGTGGCTCCCTTTCCTGATATGCCAACACCAAAACGGCCAGACATCGGGCATTCCATTACGCGTGGTCCAGTCCAAGCTGGAATTTGGCCAGTAGGCAAAGATGGTCTGACGAGAAGATCTCACTGGGCAGTCCATTCATTGGCCACAGATCCTCCTGTGACAGGAGGGTGAGGCGTCCAATCAGTTTCAGGCCCCCTCCCTGCTGGGCTCCGCCCCCTACAAAGTAACATTGCATTTAGCAGCTGAATGTGAATATATCACTGCATGTCACAAAATACAGGCAAATTTAAAAAAAAAAAACTAATTAAAACCATTTAACCTTGTAAGGTGTATTTTGGTAAAAGTATTTTCACATAATGGTCACAATCTACTTTTTTGAGGCAGACCAGAATCAGACATAAATGACTGTAACGGGATAGACACACCATTAAAATGATCATTGTAAACCGGGATAAACATGATAATTAGCCAAAGCACATTAATCAGCTGTGAGCTGTCAGGACTTCAGTCTAAATATCCTTATTTGAGGAAATTTGAGGGGAGAGACATCACATCAGCATGAATGTTATAAGCTGAATTAATCAACTGCATCTATCAACTCCATTAAGGTGGCCGCATACTGCAAACAACATCCCTACAAAACAAAATCAAACACTCTTTGTTTGTCTGTCACGTCACACCTCTAGAGGGCGCTAAATGTTTTCGATGCAGCAGACGTATATACAGTGCACAAATAAATGTATGCTTTTATTTGCAATTTCTACTCATGAATCGCAGGTTGTCTATAAAAAAAAAAAATCAACATGACCTGTCACAAAAAATGTGGATCACTCCACACAAGTTCAGCAAGTCCTCTTTCAAAGGCGTTCGTGATTGCAAAGCCTTTTGCTTTTACTTCTGGAACATTGCAGGACACTAGCAACTTTTCTATAGCCAATCATGGACAGTGGGGTGTGATCAGAACAAATTAAAAAGTTCACCTCATGGTTTACACAAGGAGGGCAGCGACACGTGCGGGGATCACCGCTCTTACGACGTTGTATTGCTAAAACAACGTTGATTTTCTGTGAAGTATGTGGCCACCTTTATGGTTCTCAGCCAAATAAGCTGCTCTGCCGGCCATTAAGCATGAGAAAATTGATATTTCAGTCTGGGCACAGCCTACAATCTCCACATCATTCACCTCTATGTTTGGCATGGTCACGGGCATCAGCGGGGCCATGGGAGTAGAAGATGTAGTCCACCGTGCTGGCGAAGTTCGAGTGCAGTGTGGTGACCTCAGGTCTGCCTGTGCCTTTCACATGGGGGCTATAAACCGACTGCAGGTGCAGCCCATGGTGGAGAACGTTCCTAAATCTGTTTGGGGGTGGGTGAGTGTGAGTGCTGGAGACTGGAGATAGTGTCACTCTGAAGTCAAGAAGGCACTAACCCAACTGACCTTGGAACATTCCACGGCTTTTCCAGGGAGGGGTCTACAAGAAAAGACAGAAGATGAGATGTGCTCTATCATGTCTGGAGCCTACAGTAAATTAGTTACAATGACCATGATTAAAAAGCAAACTGCGCTTATTCACCTGGAGTAGCGTCTGTCACCCCCGGTATCACGTCTAGGTCTGGGGAGCGGACGAGGGAAGCCTCACAGAAACGAAACTGAAGCAGGAAACTGTGGCTGTACCGGATTCTCCCTGTGAAGGAAATGCACAAAAATAGCTTGGTTAGTGTCATGAGAATAGGACAAAGCAGTCACAAGTTTGCACAGATGTCTCAGACACCGTAAAATATAGAGAGAAAAATACACTGAAAAGGATGAAACTAATTCCCAGAGCATAACACATGATGAGAGTTTTTACAAGGGCATCAAATCCAACATAATAGGGGCTCCTGAAGGTCACATTACACAGTATAAAAACAGGAAGTTACTTATTAACTTTTTGGGACACAGCACTCACAGATGATGAGGTGGCTCAGCTGGGGCCTGGGGGGGGTCTCCCCCAGGGCCAGACCGGCACCTCGAAAGCCCACCCCCCTCCTGACCTGATGAGTCTGCCTCCGCCTGCCTCTTGCTGCCAGGAACATACTGACAGTTGTCGTTGATCCCCAGTTCGCTCGGCCACAAGGGGGCGCACAGTATGTGGTGATGCATTTTGTAGGAAAAATCCTCCTGCCCTGATACCTGGAAAAACATAACAATAATACGTAATGATATATAAAACAACAACATTAAATGACATCCAAAGTCCAGGCTTTGGAATATTCTCCTTCACCCAACCAGTAACACAATAAAAAAGTCCCCATAGCAACCATATTGTAAACATACACCCTGGCACACAGAACTGGGGACACGTCCTCATTCAACTGTGCATTACTTCATGCATGGGCAATATTCCAGGGTTTTCCTTTACATTTATCTGGAAACCTGTTGGCCCTGAATTTTGCAGCATTAACATGGAAAGCAGGAGAGTTTGGTGTACCATCCACGCCGGCAATCCGTGGTAGTACAGCTGCCCCGTGGTAATGAGCTGGTACAGTGGCATGTTGGGGACGGCATTAAAGTCGCCGCAGAGGATGATAGGACTGGGCGAACCACTGGACCTCCAAGGCTTCACCGCATGGTCGATCTCCGCCAGGAGCACAGCCAGCTGGGCCAGCTTTACATCGCCCCTCCTGGGGTTGAAAAGGAGGTGCGTATTGGCCACACAGATGGGAGTCCCCTGGGCCGCCACCCCTGACCCCCGTGCGACCACTGGCTGGAGAAGCAACACCACAGCCACATTGTCCCGGTCCAGCAGCGCCAGCTCAGGCCGCCGGAATTCCACCAGGCGGGCCGACAACTGGGAGAACCGGGACCTCTGGTAGCACACAGCACACCCGTCCGTCTTGGTACCGGTGCGACGCTTATAAACACAGTTATAGCCTGGGGAACGAGAAAATGGTCAACCTAAGATGTTAGATGCTATCCAAGCTTTCTGGTAAATAAATAACAAAACATAACAGTACCAAATGAAGTACAGACTAACAAGTTCCTTAATCTGCTGAATGGCCACTAATCCTCTGGAAGCGCCCTGTGAACCCCACTAGTTACTGGCAAACTGCTGCCATTCCTCCTCCTGCCCCCCCCAAGAGAAAAAAAAAAGATTTCATCTACCTGGAATAGAAACTTTCCTATAGCTTATTCTGTTAGCCATAGCCAGAGTTGGGTAATTCAGGTCCAGTGAGTAAAAGACCAGACCGGGATTTTGTTTCAGCCAACCAATTGAGTACTCTGTGATTGTAACTCTTTATGCTCAACTGGTTGGTTGAAACAAAATCCCGGTCTGGACTTTTACTCTCTGGACCTGAATTACCCAACTCTGGCCATAGCTTACACTAGTACACTGGCTAAAGCTGTGCCCCAGTGGGCAATGGGGCCAACATGCTTACCCCGGTCTGTCAGTATGGGCAGGAGACCTTCAGCATAGTGGTTCTCCTGGACTTCTTGTAAGCACATGATCTACAAAACAAAAATCAGGAAATAAATTAAGAAATTTATGGAGTTACTGAACGCTGACATTTCTGTGGGTTGGGAACCCCCATTTACGTTCCCCTGGGTCACCCGCATCCCACTCACATCTGGTTTCCACTTGTCAAACTCGAGCAAAATGTTCCGGAGTCGGAAATCCCAGGCCAGAACGCCTGGGGAACAGTGACTGTACAGCTCTAGGTTGGCTTCCAGCAGGTCCTGGGCCAGAATGTTGTAGGACATGACCGTGAACTCGAACGGGCCCTGGGGCCCCACCGTGGGCTCCTGGGGCTTGGAGATGTCCTCCCACACCCTCCAAGTCACTGCAAAGCACGTTGGAGAATTTAGGTACTACAAGAATACTGGGCAAGTCGGACAAGCCCTTGCAATATTGTACAGACAGGAATATGTATTATCATGTAATATGCACTATCAACTCTAAAAAGAAGTTTACATTTACTCAATTATCTGACACTTTCGTCCAAAGCGACTTACAGTAGAAGGAAGAGTTATAATTTATGTGTGTTCCCTAGGATTTGAACCCACAACCTTTACATTGTTAGTCCAATGCTCTACCTGTTGACCGGTACACACAGCAAACAATATTACACTAACCACTTCCTATGGTAAAACTGACAGCATACTTAATGAAGGACCTTTGGTGGATGTGTCCTTCAGCGCTCACCTTCAAACGGCGCCATCTCCTTGGCCAGGGGGTTATAGGTCATGACTGGGGCTTGACAGGGTGGGCAGTGTACGACTTGGCTCAGCCCAGGCCCTGAGGAGAAGTGCCAGCCCCCACTTGCCGGCTGCACACAGCCCGCCCAGACCCAACTGCCGGTGTCAGAGAACAGAGTGCTGGACCCCCAAGGGGAGGGCATGCCAGCACCGGCCCGCCCATACTGGAGCCCACTGGAGTCTGACCCTCCCGCTCCATCCCAAGCAGACTCCCATCCCTGCTCCTCCACACCCATTAACCCCTCTTTTTGTAAACACCCATTTCCCCACGGCTCCAAAGCTGGGCCTTCCTGCTTAGCCTCCTTACTCCCCGACTCTGGACCACTTCCCTCAGGCAGGAGAACAGCTCTCTCTGGGGCCACTTCGCCTCGAGTTACCTCCTCCTTGTCTACAGTCTGGGCCCTTCCACCCACAGCAAGAACCACCCTTTCCTGCTGCTCCCCCTGGGCTGCCCCCCCTCCCACTCCGCTCTCCTCCTGATCACTGCCGCCAGTAGTCAGCTGCTGGCCTGACTGCTCCTCGCTGGGCCTTGGCGTCACAGGTCCTTCACTATCCCAGACACCCTTGCCATTCATGACAGAACAGCTGGCCTCCACTCTCCAGGGACCATCCTTCTTTCTTCTATCTGTGGGAAGTAAACAAATGTGCTTCAGTTAAACACTATTCTCAGTCACCTATTCCTTTTAACTGTTTTTATTCATGTCACAGTTTAAACCATACACATATGCAAATTTAGTTATACGATGTCGTTCTGCCGTAACATTTAATTGTTCGGTTACATACGACACATTATTTCCATTCTGAGGAAAAATTGCTCCCTCAACGCAGCGAAAGCACAAGTTAAGATTTCAGGCTACGATCTTTTAAACGCAAATCTCATGTACCGAAAATACATGAGACGAATACAGGTGACATGTGCAGGGTCTGAACCGGGCTTGCGCAGCACGCTCCCACCGCCGGGGAATTGGGGGGGGGGGGGGGGAGGTTAACCAATCCGATCACGTGGTTATCGCAACTACGCTTTCCACAGCACCACCATCGCTTTGGGAAAAGTACAGGATCCGTCAGGGGAGGTGTTTACACGAGCAACCCTGCGCAACCGTCAGCCTGCACCGAAACGTTTCACCCTTTGCGTCCTCGACTCTTTCCCAAGAATGTACTGCATTGCCTTTGCACGCCATTTCCCGGCGTTCGACAAGCGACATCTTGCACGAAAAAGCGCGTCTGCGATACGTGCCGGACACTTTACCTGAAGCTGCGCGTGTAACACGAGCTAAAGGGAAAAGCACGTAACACATGAGAGTCCCGATCATTCTCCAGCTGACGTGCGCGCTCCTTGCGCGCTCCCCGCTCGCTCCGAACTATTCGCATTTGCTCAGTGCGCTGTGCTGAAGCACATCAAATCAAGACGTCAAAGTGATTAGCAGAGTGAAGGGAGTGAAACATAATTTACCGTATCTCCAGAGCTCACGCCTTTGCTATGGAGTCATTATCCCACGTACTAGAAACTGCTGCAATGCATTATAAATAATGAATCATAAATAGTCGATTTAATCGACCACTTTATAGCGGTTGGATACTAAATTTAAACATTTAACAACGAAAAATGTGCATTTCCACAAAAATATCCTTCCCTCGGGACACAGCTAATTCTAAAACATACATACATTAAAATTTTATTGGACCCTTACTCTTCTAGGTTCATCTTACAGTTTTAGCCAACTATAGATAAGGTTTCACATGTGATATGGTTACCACGATAGCCAACCCTTTGCACTCAAAGGTAGATATACACTAGTAGGCTAAACATGCTATGTTAACTGAAAATTAAACAGAAGCTCGACCAAAAGTAGACTTTTGCTCCTGGGACTAACATTTTTAAAGATTGCACATGATGAGTGCTGTATCCGAGTGTAGGCTGTTCCTGGAAACGCTCCGCCTGGAGGAAAGCGACTCCTCACACCTGTCACGGCAGCCAGGTCCTGGTGACGAGTGGGACACAGACCTCGACACTGACGGTAAACCGATTAGCCTATGGGGACTAGCGCAGATGTATAAGACTAGCGAGGGACTTTATATAGTCTTCTATTCTACCGTTATGTTCAATTACATTCCATCATGATACAAATAACAAGACACGTTATTGGCATGAGTGTACTAAACTGTAGATTTTTATCAGTTTACTAGGGCTTCCTGTAGAAGTCCATATAATCACTTAATTCAGATGAAAAATGTTCCGACTAAAACTGAAAACGTCAACGCATTGTATTGGATGTTATTTTCCACTGGTTTTGCTATTATTAATATTTAGATGTATAATCCCATTAAAATATAGGCCTACAGAAAATAAAATTGAAATTTAAATTGGTATGTGTCTGAATCACATCAATGTTAATGAGTAAAAGTATCAGATTTGTAATTTTACGTTAAAAAGCGCTGGTTATTGAGTTATTATTGAGTTAAGTAACGATGTTGGTAAGCATTTGTAAGGCAATATGCAGGTAAAGAGGGGATTTAATAATCTCGATTTTCTCGTCTCCTCAGAGGACGAAGGTAACAAAGCTGACTTGTCGCCAGCTGAGATCTACCAACACGCCTGCCGGGTGGTTGGCGTAGTTCCCGTCAGTTACTACCTACGAAATTTGAGCGACAGCATTCTGAACCTAAACCACCGCGGGTTGGGCCCCCTGGGGGTCAAGGCGCTAGCCATCGCCCTGGCGGTGAGTGCAGGGTCATTTCCAGGGGGTTCACGGCACGCAGCGTCTAGGAGACTTAACTAACCGCAGTGTAACCACCCCTCACGCAGTCTGACGTGCGCCTCACAACGCTGGAGCTGAAGGACAATTACTTGCTGGCCGAAGGGACCAGATACATCGTGGAGATGCTTAAGGCAAATGTGACTATTCAGAATCTGGTAGGTATGAAACGTAACTCCAACAGTGGAATCTGACAGCCATAATCAGTAAATTAATAAATAGACAGATGGCTTGATAGACAACTTTACTAGAAAGTTGTGGTTAAACATTTGGCATACTGGTCATTAAGTTACTGGCTGAATATCACCAAATTATTAAATATCACCAAATTATTAAATACAAATTGCTCTGCCATAAAGTGTCTGCAATCTCATATTTAGCCACTAGATGGAAACGAAGAGTAAGGCACAAGTTCTTCCCGAATTAAAACACTTTCTGTTTATTACAGAACCTCTCAAATAATCATTTGCAGACTGCAGGTGCCGAGTGCATTACAAAATTTTTGGTGGACAACATCTCAATCCAGTCACTCAAACTCTCAGGTAATTGTGACAACCGAGTCCAGCCATAATTTTTTGATAAAAACACACAGCTACTTCAAGCTGTGACCCCTTACAGTCACCATTATTAATTGCCACCCAGGAAACGGATTCAAAGAAGATGATGCCAAATACTTTGCAGACACCTTTTCTGTAAGTCCAGAGTAAAATATATACTTTTTGCCTTAGACAAACATCTTAAGGAGTTCAGCTCTGCCCAGCAAGGTTGTTAAATGGAGCGATAACTTCAATGTCTGGTAAAATTAGTATTATTTCCTAATCTGTTAGACTAACTACAGAGTAAAGGAGTTGGACCTGAGTCACAATGACTTCTCTGGAAAAGGAGGGGAGCATCTAGGCCAGCTGCTAGGTAAGGTACCCATTCTGTGTCTTGGCTTGTGCACAGTAATATTTACCCAAAACTGTAGTTCAATAAGTAACTGATGGCCTGCATTTTCACTCCTTCATATTTACAACCCCTCCCAGCAAGCAATGAGGGCCTGGAGACGCTCGACCTGAGCTGGAATCACCTGAGAATGAAAGGTGCTGTGGCTCTTTCTGCAGGACTCAAGGTAGGGAAGGCAGCCACCTCCAAAACAGGATCTCCATTCCTGCACTAAAAAAACAGTAGTATTGAAATTCCCTGACTTCCACCAAACCAGGGCAACATCACCCTGAAACACCTGGACCTTTCCTGGAATGGCTTTGGGAACGAGGGGGCCCTTGCCTTGGGGGAAGCCCTCAAATACAACAACACCTTGGTGCTCCTGAACCTGAGCCACAACCGGATTACCAACGAGGGAGCAGAAATGCTATGCAAGGGCTTGGAGGCCAACGACACACTACACACGCTCCGGGTGAGGGTTCTGGAGGCACTGCTATGACAACTGGATGTCAGTCAGGCAGTTCAGTCGTGTAGAGCAGTTTTCCCCAATGCAGTCCACAGGAACCCCCGAGACAGTCCACATATTTGACTGGGACCTGGGAGGGAGCAAAAACATGTACTGTCTAGGGGTCCCCAAGGACCAGGTTGGGAAACACTGATGTAGAGGAAGAACTCTCAACACTATCAGTGGCTCAGGCAACAAGGGTGGATTGTGTATATTTATGTGTGTGTGTGCAGCTGGCCTATAACACCTTGACAGTGGAAGGAGCACTGGCACTCCTAAACACAGTGAAGAACAGCCACAGATCTGCCCTGGAGGAAATCAACATCTCAGTGAGTTATCTACCTCTCAACCTAGCAAACTAGAAAGACCAAAACAGTAATGAAAGTCATGGCACGTTAATCACATTAAAATGCAGTGGCTGCATTGGGGCCATGTTGCATGTATGTCACTAACATACAGAGTGTTGTGTGTCCCTCTGAAGAACGTGCTGGTGAACGAGAACTTCGTGCGGCTGCTGGAGGTGACGCGCCAGTGGCATCCTGGCCTGGAGGTGCATTATGGAGGAGTAGGCGGCTTCATGGCCAAGAAACCCAACAAACGCCCCGACCCCATGAAAGTCATCCAGGTACAGCTATGAATCCAAATCAAAACAGTCTATTAACTTCACAGGTAAATGGTAATTCCTTCTGGTGAAATCGGTCACCACCTGACCTAACGTTCATTTACAGGATTACCTTGATGAGCGCAAATTGCGCCTCTGGGACTTTTTTCGGAACATCGACAAAGATGGGACGATGCGCGTGCCTGTCTCAGACTTCCGGAGAGCAGTGCAGGTCTGGGACAACCCTGGAGTGTTGCTACAAATGGGAAGTGGTGGCTCGGAGGGTACACTGCGAATCCTCTCCAATGTTGTGTGTCCCTTGCAGCAATCCACCATACCACTAGACCGGCACCAGATTGAGGAGCTCATACAGAAGCTGGATAAGGACAGAACAGGATTAGTGGACTACAGGTAAGGCTTTTTCAGACCTTTCTGTCTGCCCAAGCCAGCCTGCCCAGATCAAAATGCAAGCGAACAAGAGCAAGAACTTTCTTAAAGTCATTTCTTAGTTTTCAGTATCAGTATTTCTTATAATGTTTCAAAGGCTGTCCTTCATAAAATAGGTGTGAATAATGAATTTACTGTATGGTGAGGTGCTTAGCAACTGATGCTGATTTCTTACAGTGACATGTCTAACGATAGTCAGGATAAATCAGGTGCAGACTGCTGATGATACGTGTGTGTTTAAACACCATTCCTCTAGTTATGTGCAGGAAACAGATGCTCATTGTACATGCAATAAGCTGGTTCAACTGCATGATCATGCCTCACTTTGCTCCCACAATGCTTTGCTTATGCAGAGGCCTGGCAGACACCAGGAAGAAGATGATGCGGGATCACCGGCGACAGCTGCGTAAGGTGGAGTCACGGCAGAAGAAGGAAAAGCAGAAGAGCGAGCGCATCTTGAAGACCTTCCAGAGTGCTGTGGAGGCAGTGACACCCCGCAGTTCCGTTGTCATGTCCCCAGGTGGCGCCAAAGAGGACTCGAGTGGCCCACAGCGGTTCTTGGCCACGCCTCTCAGTTCCTGGCACCATGTGGTCATGTCCAATAGCGGCCACTACTCCGTGACCAACATGAGCAACGAGCACTTTCACCTGCCCTCCATTGGGGGTCTTGCCACTTCCCGCCCACCCAGCTCACCATCAACATATTCCTACTCTCGTCTCAACCTGCAAACCCCCTCAGTCAAGCTCCACTTAGACCAGGTCACAGACTTGTGCACCAGTCCTGATGTTATGACTCTTAAGCTGAGCCCCACAACTGATCAGCTAACCAGGTCCAGGCCAGCCCTCAGCCTAAAAGAGTCAGGCCCAAATGTCAAGACCACCAAGGCAAAGAAAAAGAAATCAAGGAAACGTGGGCAATGCAGTTAGCAGGGTCAACTAAACCCTGAGCCCAGAGCTCATCTCACATGTACAAAGTGTTTCACTCAGCGGCATCATGGATGTGTGTGTTTCTTCCTGGTCATAAAGCACTGCCTGTTGTGCACAGACAATAATTTGGATGGATTCCTCTGACAGGCAGAAGATGAAAGCTTGCTATATACAGCTGGCATAATGATTTGAACTCAATGTATTGCAGCATAATTGACTCAGAACTCAGAGCAGAAAATACAACAAATCAGAGCTCCTCAGCTCAGGCCCTAGAGGACAGAAGACTCTCTTTTCCTGACTGAATCAAATATTCATAAAATCTACTCTCATTCCCAGGGACTTTTATTGTCTAGTTAGAATAGTACAAACAAGCCTAACAAGGAGACCCTTACATTTTTTTTTTAGATCATTGCACATTTTTTAATATATTCAAAAAATGCTTTATATATTTATATATATATTATCCTTGCATTTTAAAAGTTATTCTGTAGCATAACCTTACCCACATCTGAGTACATGTTTGATACTGATAATTAACTATTACAGAAACATGCACTTTACAGAAAACAGTTTGGTGACCCTGTGGCCTCCGGGTTTCATGGTCCCTGCGGTTTGTGCATCTTATATGAGGGGGGCAGCTTGTCAATGCCATACTACATGCAGGAAGTCAATAATATGAGCATAAGCCAGGCAAGTAAGACAAGGTGTGAGGGGATATCAGCTTTAGGGAATATTGTCAGGTACACACACACACACACACACACACACACACACACATAGACCCAAATGTAACTTTATTGCCACCCCTTCATTAATTCGAGTGTCCCTTCCTATATGTATATTTATGTAACTCTTTAAAGGGAAGATCACAAACAACTGTAAAGGAACTTCAGGAAGGATTACATGTGATGGCTTTGGGAAGGAACCTAATCTTCTCTAAGATAAGAACCTGAAACCAAGACATCCATTAGAGACCTTGTCAGAAAGTGAAATCTGGGGCCATTTCAGTATCTGCGCCCCTATGCAGCCTCTGGGACACAGGAGTGAGAGGAACAGGGAGGTGGGGGAGGCAGGCCAATGTGCCCATGGGGCCATTAGGTCCAAGAACTCCTGCCCAGACAGAGAGCTCGTTCCAGTTGGAGGACACCATGCCGATCAACCACAAACTGGGCCTGGAAGCTAGCAGGGTGTTCCTCCATCAAGGCATCAGTGGGCAACACATTTTTGGGTCATTTACAGCATCTGCTCTTTCAACCTGTGCAAGAAGGTCAGGACTGATACTTCTGCAGTCCCTTTGAGAAGTCTGAGGAGAGATACCTGGACTACAGCCCCACAGATCCAAACCTCTACATGCACAATAACAAAGGCTACTATGTCTTACAGTGTGAAGTTTAATAATGCTAAGTTATTTCAAGGAAATCTCTCTGTTATACTGTCACTGATGTCGTTGAATGTTGACAACTGAAAAGCTTGGGGGTTTCCACTTTCCTTGAAAAGACTTATTAAGAATGATAATCTTCCTGGTAATTTACAAATGAAATCAACAACAAACATTGTCACCTACTTGAAGTGCTGCTTCAGTTGCAATAAAAAAAAAATACCATGCTTTCTGAAATGTCTTCAGCATGTGACACGGTGCTTGGGTGCGGAGTCAGGTTTCAGTCCCATCAAGCTGACAGCTTGTATTCTGTGCTAATGGCCCCCCGCCACATACCACTCCCTCCTCACACACAGTGTCAGCCTACAGTCCTCCCTAAGAGGTCGGTTGGGCTAGGCTGCTCCCCTGAGTCCGGCCCTTTGTCTGTCAGTGAGGGGGTGGCTCCAGCTGACACGAAGGAACAAACCCGGCACTGATGACTGAAACTCCTTACACTGGACTCCACTGATGCTACAGACATCATCATCCAGTCAGGTCACATCCCCTTTTAATAAAAATCCCCTTTAATCTGATACAAACTGCTTCTGTCGTTTACAGTATTGTCAAAAATATGATTAAAATCGCACATACATCAGGGATAGGTTCTTGAAACATAAGTTTATACCAAATTATAAACAGTTGCGCCGTCTCTTTAAGAACTGTAGAAGGGCGGAACAGAAGCACAGGGTCTGTGACTAATCGTAAGGGTAGGTGACATCATCTTTAGCCAATAAGCTGCAGTGCTGAGCCTGTCCCTATTTCTGAGAGGATCGGTGCTGAGGCAGGCTGCAGAGACACAGGCTGACGCTGAAGCGATGAGGCCAGGACATGCGGGACTCAGATAAGGTATGGCAGATGCATGATTTGGTGTGACCTCCCAAATCCTTTTTTGCTGCGCCTGCAGACAGATGCAGAAGGGGGTGGGGAGGCCGTGTTATTGGTTAGGGCTGCTGAGATCTCATAGCCTGCGGGTGAGTTTCTATGCAAATGCTTTTGAACATCCGGATACGCGTTCCTTCACACTGTCCCGTTTCCCAAACAAGCGTGGTGTGATAAGGCATCACACTCCATCTTCGCTCTACGTCACACCCTAGGCCCGCAATGCAGCCCGGGATGTCCCTGACTCAGCTCCAGGACAGAGGCTGCTGCCGGTGTATATTATTTTGATTAAAGCAGGGTGTGGGTGAGGGAACAGGATGGGGATAGTGCAAAGGTCACAGCACGGTCTCTCAGGGCGATCTGGCTGCTCGATGGGCTCAGTCATTGTTAGATCAGTAGCACACAAAACTTCAGGCCTGGGGTGCATTCACCTAATCCAGGAAACACCTCCGTAATTACAAGCTCACACAGACACACTGGTCATTTATGGGGAAAGATGTTTACATAAAGATACGCAGGACCCACTGACCCAAAGAACGCACATAACCTCACCCGAGTCTGCTGGATTTCCGTTACCGGAAGGGCAGGAGAATGATGTCTCTCAGGGGAACCCTGACTCCCCTTCAAATTACAGGAAAGTGGCAGGTTAATGGACTGAAAGTGGGAAATCCTCCTGTTGAGAGAGAGTGCCTTCCACACCCTGAGGGGGGGCTCTGATCTGGTTTTTAAAGCAGGCTGCGGTGATGCATGCCATCGACTCACAGAGATTTCAGTAATCTGGATTGCTCAGACGTTTAAAAATATGGTCCACAAAATCACATACAAAAGCTAATTATTTCAGCAGAACACAGAGAACATTACAAATAAAACCTGTGACTACAGAGTGTGAAAGTGTGTGGCAGCGCGTTGCCCAGTCAAGGCAAAATTATGACTCAAGTGTCTCCCAGGCTTGTCAGCACAGTGCAAACTGCTTACATGCATTTGCTGCACCTGAAGCCCATCCGCTCTGTGGCCGAACTGCAGTTTCAGTCACATGACTCATTCCTTTAGCCTTCCCCAATGCCACAGGGACCTGGCCTAGGCAGCAACATGATGGCCAGGAATCTGAACAAACACATCCGGCTTCCTCATCCACAGTGATCCATTACCTCCCAGAATTTGATAAGCTGGGGGACTGAATAACTTCTTGTGCTTTTGTATGTTCTGTCTGGTCTTTCCCTAGTTCCCATTTTTATATATTGGACTTTGCCCGAGTTCACAGTACAACCTGTCAGATGACAACAGCCACCTTTTGTCATTTTTAACTCTGCGTGACTGTTTTTTTTCGTTTTGTGACTTTGGCAGGCTGGCCAGGGTTTCTCTGCAGAACGACTCTGTAGAACGACTCTCTGGGGACATGTGGGTCTGCCTGGGGCACAGGTGACACACGTCCGTCACCTACCCGGCTTCATCCGGAACAGCACAAGTCTGAGCCCAGCCAGTCATGGCAAAGAGGGACTACTTGGTGGATGCGGCCAAGCAGATCCGCATGGCGCTGGACCGGGAGGTCAGCGAGGACTACGAGGCTGCCTTCAACTACTACAAGAATGGGGTGGATCTGTTACTGAGTGGAGTGCAAGGTACTATGCCACAGGGGACCACCACCCATCTCCAAGGCAACACCTGCTTTGGCAAGATCCACAGCAGTGTATGGCCAGTACAAGCTAAACATGGGAAAATGCTTGTAAGAATCAGGTTTAAATAAGAAACTGGCGATGACAAGGTAACTACTATTAAAAGAGGATACAGAACCTACAGATGGTTGTAGCCTTCTACTTCTGTGGTTTTGGATTTCATCTGCACATCCTGACAGGAAGTACCGTGTTTTGTGGTCTGGCACAGATGCTAAACACAGTGTTTAAGAATCATGTGCTAGCTGACTGATATGAAGTGAGGGGATGAATCTTGTGTGGTTGGCTAACTACCCATGTCTTGCTGCCTACAGTGGACCCTAACAAGGAACGGCGGGAGGCAGTAAAGCGGAAGACCACTCAATACCTGAAGAGAGCGGAAGAGATCTTTAACTCACACCTTCAGGGCAGCTTGGGAAATGGGACGTCCCTGTCTGGGGTAGGGGGTCGCCAAAGGGCAGTTAAAAAGTTTTTACAATTGTCTCAGTGTTGAGCTACTGTATGAGGGTCATTTCATATGATGTATAACGGGGCAGAGGAGGGCCTTATCTACAATTTAGACTCCCATGAAACTGATGCACGCACATCCTATATTCAATTTCACACTGAGCTGGAAGTCACACAGCATGTGGCTTGAATGCAAGCACATTCGCCTCACGTGGTGCAAGCGGCAGCTTCTGATGCGTACAGGCAATGGTCAGAAAGAACTGCGTGACAGGATTCTGGTTGGGCCTGATTCACAGACTCGTCACTCCTTCCCCTAGCAGCAAGGCAAAGGATGAGCAGGCTGAGTCTCTTCATCGGGGGAATTGGATTATTTGCAGGCAGCTCTGGGTGGGCGAAGGGAAGCGAGAGCTAGTTCAGTGCTCAGTCAGTACTCAGGCTCCGTCCCCATCTGGCAGGGCTACAGCAGCCTAAGATTTCGGCCAATCAGAAACCTCAGCAAACCAGTGGAGGACTTGAAAATGTGCAAAGTCATCGGGGTGATCGACAAGGTAAGCATGTGCTTATGCTGGTCTATTTATAGGAGTCAATGTCCAATTAAATTAGCGATATGCTGATCAAGAGAGCCTTGGGTCATGTGCGAGAGCACTCCACACTTCTGCTTTTTAAGACTGCACAAACTGAAAGTAAAATCTCACACATATTGCAGCATAGTAGTGATGAGCAGTTCTTCAGCCGATAACCTCTGTTTAACATGGAGACAAAGTAAAGACCCTGTGATTTAGAGGCCAACGGCAGATGTGATGTTCTGCAAACAGACATCTGTTTATCCAGTGCTCATCCACTCCAACGCCCATGCTCTCTGAATCAGCATCGGGACTAGGACGGCAGAGGCTTACTCTGTCAACCTGCTGAAGCAGAGTGAACAGGGCCGATTGTTGGCATCAGAAATCAAAGCGGATTCACCTGCCAGTAAAACGAAAAACCGAAACAGGGAAGTTACAAAGTGATCCCAGGTCTGATCTGTTCAGACGACACTGCAGTCTGTGCTCACAGGCGTGTCATGTGATTTTCCGCTACCTTTAAATCTAAATTGGTGTTTGAGTGCCACCATAGGAAAAATACTGCATGTGTCTTTGGTTTAATCATCTCCCAAACACACCCTCCTCTGGTGTGCCCACTCCAAGATGACTTGCTATGACAGGCCATAAGCAAAACCAAGCTGACTTTCACCCTCCTCTGCTTTTCTGCCCTAGGTTCTGACTGTCCAAAACCTGACCACCAAGGAGGTGTTTGTGGTTAAAGTAAGCACAGACACCCTGGCTTCGTTCCTGCTAAAGGCGTTAGGGCAGGGGTGTCAAACTCCATTCCTGGAGGGCCGGAGCCCTGTGTAGCTTAGTTCTTTCCCTGTTCCACCACAAATGATTCAGCTCCTGAGCTATGTGGTAATTAGCACAAGGAATTGAATCTGGTGTGTTAAATGAGGGGAAAACCAAAAATCAGCAAGGCTCCAGCCCCCCAGGACTGGAGTTTGACACCCGTGCGTTAGGGCATCATACAACCAGACGGCAACAGGAGTAATGCCCCCCAGCAGATGGGGAGGGCACCACAGCAATGCTGTCTAAAGCCCTGCTGGGCATCCAGCTTTGCTGATTGATCTGGATAAAAGGTGCCTGCTTTCCGGCACAGGATAGACGTATGTATTACGGATTTGAGATTGGTATTGATGATAAATACAGCATGGGGGCGGTAAATTAAGGTCTCATGACATACAGCTTTATCTGGATTTTATGTGTACATGCAGTACTCTGTAATTCTTAGGATAAAAATCACAGGTGTTGCTATTATTCTCCATCTCTGCAGAGCCTGGCCAAGTCAAGCTGGGAGAGCCGTGAGCAACCCACCATCATCCCCCAGGGCGTGCCCTTCATGGTGAAGCTGCTCCGCTACTATGTCAGTGAGGACACCGTCTACCTGCACCTGGGGCATGTCCAAGGTGAGCGCGTGCTGGCTCACCAGTAAATCCTGTTTGGCATCATAATGCAGGGGGAGAAGCGAGAGCTGGCAGCAGCCATTTTTGATCAGAAAGTGCCTGAGGATATATGAATGTTTTTTTTTTGGGGGGGGGGGGTTCATTTAATTTGGAAACCCATGTTTGGGTTAGCATCATGAATTACAGACAACACAAATGTTTGTAGAATGAGGTGTAGATTTTTAATGCATTTAAAGCAAAGGCCCTTAAATAATAAAAAAAACACGTATTTTTAACCCTAAACATTTGTTCGTCTACATCGAGCAGGGGGGAGGCTTTTCTCTAAGCTGCACAAGTCCAGGAAGGACAAGATGAAGGAACATTCTGAGGGCTGCAGCTCCACCCGCTACAAGATCCGGATGAAGACCAGCTACACCACCCCAGCTCTCAATCTAGAGCAACAGGACGAAAAGTCCAAGAAGCAGGCCCAGGCGGAGGACGACTCCGGGGACAGCCCGGATGCTGTATCCCCCTCCTCCTGGGAGGAGGTCCGGCAGCAACTGGAGGATGGCCGGACGCACCCCTACTGCGAGGAAACCGGCTGCCTGCATAGCGCCAGAGCCAGCCCACCAAAGAGGAGCTGGGTATCTGGGTCACTGGGGTGGGACGAGGCGTTCCATGGTACCACTGGCACATTTTCCAGCACTCAGGAAAACCTGATTATCCCACCGCATCGCTGCCCTGGCGGAGGGACTACTGAGGCTTTCAAAGGGATGTGGGAGCTTTCAAAGACAGACTTGCAGGAATCCAGCATTGTGCAGGAAGCTGCAAATGGCACTCAAGACCCAGATAAAATACACTTAGTGATCAAAGACAGTCCAGAACCAGTAGGAGGCAGCAGAATACCTCATGAAGCCCAGCCTTCCATGAACGACCAGGTGTTACAGGTAGACAGAGACAGTCGGGGCATTATTAGGGATCTGCAGTATAGAAAGACAGGGTATGCAAAAGGTCAGGTGCCCTGGAGAGTGTGGACAGGCAGAGAAGGGGTAACAGGATCCATATGGGCAGCTGAACCAACGGAGTGGGCAAGTGCCGCTCCAGCAGTTCAAGAAACAGAGATGTCCTCAGGAAACCCCCCCTCCTACCACCTCTCTCCATGGTTTTCCACGCATGCAGGTCACCCAAAGGATGTGAACAAACCCAGAGACAGAAGGGAGGACGTGGATGAAGGATGGGAACTGCTAAATCCAATAGCTGCTGCCATTCACTGCACCTCGGGAGCAGAAGGACCTGGAACGGACCAGCCCATCGAGGTGGACGGGTGGTGCCTCCTTCCCCGGGTCCCAGCACCACGACCCAAAGAGAACAGTATACAAGGCTGCTGGGGCCTGCCTGAGGGCCAGGTGCGGCTATGGGGCGCCCAGATCCTGCTGGCCTTGGAGAGTTTGCACCAGCAGGGAATCTTGTGCAGGGACCTGAACCCGAGGAACATCCTGCTGGACAGCAGTGGTCAGTCATGAGCATGACAGCCCCTGTCATTAGCCTCCAACCCAAAAGCTCTAATTACGGGGTATCCTAAAGAAAAAGGTTTTGATAGAATATAAAACAAGGTGTAGATGTAAACATTTATTAATTTCACCACTGCCTTAATGGTCAATAAGACTGGGTTCCGTTTTCCCACACATTCAGTCATAGTCATTGCCACATCTTTTGTCCTGTGTGTTTCCCCTAGTACTACTAAAAAAAGGCAGTTTTTTTGTCTCTCTTCCTCCTAGCATGAGAAAAATCTTATGCAGTGATTCCATCTTGGGTGCACAACTGAAACCACGTGTTTTTCTGAGCAGGAAACATATGTCTGACGTACTTCGGTCAGTGGAGTGAGGTCCAACCGGAAATCAGCACCGCAGCCATGCAGCGCATGTATTGCGCCCCAGGTAACGTCACACTCTCGTAGAGTACACGTTCAGTCATGGCTTATTACTAGAACCACCCTAGACCAGCCAGAAGCCGAATGTGAAAAACAGAACTGAACAACACCTGTGAGGAGGGGGTGGCCAATAATTCCTGGAAATAACTGACCTTATCATCTCAGGTTTTTCCATCAAATAGCAAGCAGAGTGATGTGCTCGTACATATCTCAGCTTCCTCTTTGGCAGAAAAACAGGTCTCATAATTCTAAACTGCATCCCTTGTTCTCGCCATTTTGGTTGGCAGAAATTGGAGGCGTGGCAGACATCACCGAGGCATGTGACTGGTGGAGTCTCGGGGTACTGCTTTACGAACTGCTGACCGGAATGGTGAATCAAAAAAAAAAGTTTTTACAACTTTTTCATGACACTTTGCCAAACTTCATGACAGTGCCAAACTTCAAAGATCACTACAACAGCACACTATCTACTGAAACTCAATTGGATTTCTTCAACCTAATAATCAGCAACAATTCATAGCAATTTTTTTTTTCCTTGAGACCATTAAATCAATGTAGCAAATACTGACTGCACTACTTGGAGACACAACACTTATTCCATTTATTTTATATTGATCTGGGTGTCTCAGCCAAGACCCCCTTATGGCCTTACTATATCTGTATATTTCCCGCTGAGATGTTGATGACTCCATGCCATGCACCCTAACGGCGTCCCTCCCCCTCCCTGAACCCCACCCCCAGGCCCTGTATCAGAGCCACCCGGCCGGCGTGCTTCCGCACACCCAGCTCCTCATCCCAGACCACCTGAGCACGGCGGCCGCTTCCCTGCTCACAGAGGTGAACCGGGCTGCTTTCTGTTTCTTGGTGTCATCTAATTAAACGGCTTAAAGCATTTTTTGGAGATGGGGGATAACAGTCGTTTCATTTTGTTTTTCTCTTTAAATATCATTAACGGCTTCCGTAAAAATATCTGGCGCAATGTGAACCCTCATTTATACCGATGCCAGCTCTCCCCGTATATCCAAGGGAAAGGAGTGAAGCGGCTGGTTAGGCGGTCATGCCAGTGACTTGGTGGTGCTGTGTAACTTACTCGACTTACTTTTTTCTAGCTGCTGCAGTTTGACGCTGGTTACCGCTTAGGCTCGGGCGGCGGCGGCGTAACGGACATCAAGTCTCACCCGTTCTTCGGCACGGTGCCGTGGCACGCGCTCGCCAGCTAGCACCGCAGTCCACTAGACCGCCCGCTCTCATTCGGCAATCAGCCGCACGAGCTCCTAAAGTCCCAGCTGGTGCAATGCCGCCATCTGCTGGCGGAAGGACCGAAGCGCCGCCATCTACAGGGATACGAACCGAGCATGGTTGGTGGAATACATAATGGAAGACCTGAGCGTCTGTAGTGATTTAGAAGCCAACAACAAATCCAAACCCCCTGAAATAGATATGTTATCAGGTTCACAAGCAAGAGATGTAAGAATGATAGCTACTGAAAAGTACTCAATGGTAGCAAGATATGTAAACAACCATTGTGAACTTACAGCACTGTGACGGGTGAAACTGTGTGCAGGTCTTGCATAATCAGCAAGACCCAGAACCTTTAATCTAACATCCCTACCCCCAACAAATCTCAGCAGATTCTCCACCAAAGTAGAATAATGGGCAGAATTACTCCTGTGAGGTATTCCCTGAGATCTTTCACCCAAGCTTTTATGTAGAATAACCATACATCTCAATGGTCACATAACACCGGTTTTAATGAAGAACAACCCACCCAACCAGGTCTTTGACTGTATTGATGGGGGAAATTTCCTTAGTCCAGCAGCAACGGTATATAGAAAGGATGATAGTCCTCATGAAAGACCAAAAAAATTTTAAAAGGTCATGACACAAAGGTCATGATTATAACATAAAAATAAGACCTGGAATGTAGGCCTATAGAAAGTAAAAAGTCCTCAGTTTAACCAGAATATATAGGAAATGACACGTTGCAGCACAGAAACCCGAGAGAGCTATTTCACAGCATCAAGGAGGAACTTTTCAATCCCAAATAATGGCCTGGTGGTTAGTGAAGACGTGTTCAAAAGTGAGAACTTCCCGAGTAATGTCACGTGCCCCTCCTTCCTCAGGCCACAGGCCGATCCACTTCCTGCTAATCTGGTCACAAAGTGACCTGCTTCTCCTAGTGTGTGGTGTGTCCTACACACGCACAACATGGGTTAGTCTTGGCATCCGTGACACAGCACCTTAAGCAAAGTGACTGCTTCACACATGGAGGGATTTCCCCAGAAATGTCACCTGCTGCACTGGCAGCAATCACACACAATACTGGCTGGCGTTCCTTTATTTTCAATTGTGACTTTAGTGGTAATAGGTGGGGCACCTTGGGTCATTCGGAGCTGCTCTCATGCTTCAGATAGGAACTTCTCAAGGTGAACTACAGTGCGGCTGTGGAACTCTCCATGAGTTACACGTTATAGAGTTTCAGTTCCTCACAAAGACTCAGTCAGAATTTTCAGATTTTACTTAAGCTTGCTTGAGCTGAAAGATGGAACATGGTGAGATGGCCATTTTTAATGCTGACTGCTCAGAAAGTGCTTAGTTATTCAATTCGCTAAAAATTTGGCCATTTCAACTTGAGGTGGAAAAACAGACTGTACCTTTTATAACTTTTATTCCGCATGCCATAAAGTGTGTTTTGGGTGCTGTCTACAAGAGAACTGTATTTCCTGTCCCATTAACATTTTTACTACTTATATCAAAAATGAGAATTTATAAGCTTGAATAAAAGTTCCTTCAAGTTCCTGTTAAAGATCTCAGTTCATCGTTTAACTGCTGGTCAAAGGGTAAACAGTTTAAGAGTTTCACACAACATGATTCCCCACCTTCAATGACTAAGACTTCAGGTACATATCAGACTTTTATATCTTTGCATACAACCTTATTTCAGTTGCTGGGTACTATAACGACCCTCTATGATCCAAGTCTTTGCTTTCTGGTGAATTAAATGACACCTAATTAAACATCCACATATGTGTTGGCACAGTGGCAGATTATGGAGGCAGCAGGAAATGAAATGTCTAGTGAATGCGAAGTTTTTGAGATATATTCAGTAAAGTATTTATAATGTGTTTCTTTGGTTAGAAGGCACACAAACAAGCAAAATTCCTCCCAATGGGAGTCGATGAATCAAACAACAATGCCACTCTGGTTATGCTTGTATGATACAATAATAAAAAATAAAGTATAAATTTTCAAGCATTTATTTAATATTTGGTGTCATTTTCATTAATCGGTTTGACACATCATAATACTTTAGAATAATATGTAACATAACCTGTAAATTGCATTAAAAATACTGAATATTAAGAATAATGAAAATGAGGAAAGCAATGTGTGTTATTTGTTAATTTTCCTGATAAACATACTGCTCTTAAATGCCCAGATACCCTCAATTCTATTGCTTGATGGAATTGATCTTACTGTTAAATTAAATCTTTTTTCAATAAATTGCATTATGTGCCAGGGTGGGGCTTTTAAATGACAATGTCTGTTGATTCCATGTAACTTTGTTACTGCCTCATACATAAGATGATAATTGATGTGAGCAAAATTATAGGGCTATATTCAGTCAATTAATGGCCTATTTTTTTGTTTCAGGTCTCCATTAGTCATACTTGGTTAACCTGTTGGACATTGGCCACCTGGGCCATGTTTGTGCAGTCTGTCTGCGCTAGAGGAACCACAGCAACCAACCTAAAGAAGTAAATAGGACTATGAAATTAACTCAGTCATATTGTGTTTACACAACCCAGATTTAAGTTGTTCTCTGCGATGATTGTATTGAATATCAGTGCAAGATGAATCAGGTTAAGCATTTCCATAAAGAAACTGGAATTAATTAAAATCACATCACAATCAGAAACTGGCTGCTTCAGTTAGATCCGATACATTATAAAAATGTATTAATGTTTCTTTTAACCCGCTTACACAAATACATTAGGCCTAAGTGTAACCGAATTTGAATTACAGTCATTCAGAAATTAACCTTCTGCTACGACTCACATTGCGCTAATTATAATACTATATGGCTTTCAGATAATCTGAAAAACCAAGAAATTCGGGTGGTGAGGGGGGGCTCTGCTTGAAAACCTTAAATCTTGGTTCAATAGGATATGCATGTGTTGTTCAAATTGTTAGTATATTTAAGTTTAAATACGTTCACATTTTCTAGGGGGCTAAAAGATGACCAAATAAGAAATAAGTCAATATTACTGAATTATTTATATTGGGACAGTTAATTCAAACATTACACCATTAACCACAGCAGTACTGCAGTCTGGTGTAGCCATTCCAGTGTCAGAATATTTTAGAGGAAACTTTGTTGTAATAACAACACATCTCTCATAAACTATTTGTTTTCACCTGCCAGAACACACACAGAAGGTAACCAGTGCATTGCTGGATTTCAAATGTGTCTTTTTTAAGATACAGACTACATTAACATACTCTACATGCCACTAATGCAACTATAAGTGGCATTACAAGTCAATAAATACGAACACCATACTGGACCTATTTATCCTAATTATCTATTTTACAGTGCTGTTTTTTATTATGATAATTTGATGCCAATTTTAATGAATTCCCATCTTAGTACCACCAGTCTTTTGAAGGAGCTGTCAGCTCCACACAGCGTGTAATATGGACGCTGGATGGCTCTGCTTGCCTCTAACAAAATGAGATGGTTTAAATTATATCATTGCATTCATAGGCGGGTGCGTTAGCTAACCACTGCTGCAGAGGGGTAATGGCGAACAGCTTCTAAATACTGGACTTTCTCACTTATCTGAAACCAGGGGTACGGCGTTAGAACATAAGGCGGATTCATGCGAGTCCTCGAAGGCTACAATGTGTGATAGTTTCCGGTTCGTCTCATCACAATATGATATGACTGAAGTCATTATCACCTGGTGTCTTAGGTGTAAATCAGTCAGACCGAAAGCCACAGGGCTGCTAAGTCCTCAGGAGCTGCCCCTGCCCAGTACTGTTCTCATAAACACCTTATGTGTGCGTGTGGGGGGGGAAGTATTTGTACTCTGGAGCGTTGTCACAATTCCCCTCTACTAAAAATGCATGAAAACACAATTTTCATACCAAGATGTTTATCTCAAGGAGAGTGGAGTCTAGTAAGAGTCATGTGATTTGTCCACCTAATTCTTTCACCAGAGCTCATACTAAGGGTGTCACTGAACCACATCCTCTGTTCCGACTCAAGATCGGTGGATGTCTCATGTATTTATATTAAATAGGTGAGACCTTTTTTTTTTTTAGGAAGCAGTGGTTTCTAAAATATCAAGAGGTCACATGATCGCTGTGAGATGGCGCCGGCCGTACACCGCGAGTGTTGTTGACGGAGGCCGTCGTCTCCCTCGCTGTGTGGGTCTGCCTGCAATAACGTGCAGCTCAACGCTGCAAGGGCGCATTCGGACATTGCATTAAAAGCACGCAAAGAACTAAAGGACGGGACTTGAGAAGTCAGCAACGCCAACGGTGGGGCAAACTCGCATAGACAACAAAACAAAAAAAAAAGCATATATAAATTGCATGTTTCTTTAATGTTTAAAATTTCATCTTTCATAAATACATCCACGACCATATGCGGCAGAGATGGACCTGCTGTCAAGGTTGTCGATGACTCGGCTAAACTCATGAGAAAGACACACTGCTAACTTGTGCGTATGAAATAATTTCACTACATAAGGACCATGTAGTGAAATATTTAAAAAAGAAGTGACAGGGTTCAATAGCACGGTTTCCGGTGGTAGCATTAAAAAACAGTGGTTCATTTGTTCTCGTTACTGTCATTATTCTTTAGGCAAATATTGGATTAATTATAGCCTCAAATATAACGAGAAAAGGGAATAGGCTGGACCAGAACAAGAGAAAATAAACGAAAACCCCCAGAGTCTTTACACTAAGCATGTACCCGGTCCACTAAAATGGTCTGCAATACTGTACATTATAACCAAGCTCTTCGCCACTAGAATCCATGCAGAAAGCCAAACCATAGTCGTCACTGATATGTGAGGTACCAGAATATTCAAAATCACTTTGTTTTTTAACCAATCCAATTATTCAAATGCATTACAGAAGACAGGGGTATGACATTGCTTTGTGGCTTTTAAATAGACTAATTTAGCTGGACAGATCACATGTCCAGGAGCAGGACTCTCGGATCCTCCACCACACTCTTGATCTTGCGCAGGAAAGTCACTGCCTCTCTGCCGTCAATCAGACGGTGATCGTACGTCAGCGCCACGTACATCATGGGCCGGATCTCCACCTGCGAGGGGAAAACAGCGCCACTTAGAGGCCTCCTGGCGGTCTAGCATGCTGTAACGTGGATCTCGGCTGAGCATACAGACCTTGCCTCCTACAGCCACAGGCCTGTCAAAGATGGCGTGCATGCCCAGGATGGCCGACTGCGGCGGGTTAATGATGGGTGTCCCGAACATGGAGCCGAACACTCCTCCATTACTGATGGTGAAGGTTCCTCCATCCATGTCTTCCACGGCCAGTTCATTTTTTCGTGCCTGAGTAGAAATGCGGACTTTAACTCGCACACCTAACCTGGGGTCAAACTGACCCCAAAGGCACATTTCAGGCGACTTCTCATAGTAACGTAATGATTGTAGGAGCGTGTTAATCGAGTGACGAAAGGCAACTTTGAAACATTTCCCCACTTTCCAGCAGATGAGTTAAACACTTGATTCCATTAATCCTGTACCAGCTGCTAACAGAGAGCCAGCCTCATGGTGGGTACCTTCTCTCCCAGCTCATTGATAGTTTTCTCAATGTCAGCAAAGTTCATCGCCTCCACTCCCCGGATCACCGGAACCACCAGCCCCTGCGAGGGAGACAGGCGCCTCAATGTGAGCAGCACCGGAAATCTCAGCAGCTCCTAAGCCAGCTTGCAGGGCAGAGCAGGACATCAGTGACGCCGCCGATCTTGAGCTCCCAAGGCCAACAAACTATGGGGTTTCTCAGCACAGGCTGCTCATTACCTTTGGTGTTGCTACAGCCACGCTGATGTCGATGTAATCCCTGTAGACAATCTCTTTGGTAGTGTCGTCAATAACTGGACAGCCAAATGACAGAAATGATACATGCTAGTATTAAGAAGAATTTTACACATTTACTTTTCACGTAAGTAGTTTTAAGCATTACCTAAACCACAAGGTTTAAAACCCCACATACAGCCGTAAATAGTTCAAAAATTGAAGAGGGGAGAAAAAAAAAAACCCAAATACAAGCTGTGGGGGAAAAAAAAACGACCACAGACACTTTTAGAGCGGTGGGAGAATAGGTAAGCAGATCAAACACCTGCCTGAAACTACTGTGGCCTCTCTAAGGCTGGGGGAAGTTGGGAGTGGGGAGGTCTGTGGGCCAGCCGTAGGAGACAGTAAAATCTTCAGAAAACAAACAGTCAGAACCAAGCGGCCCATCGAGAGGCTCCATACCGGCGTTCACGGCAGGCTGGTCAGTCAGGGCGTGAGCGGCGGCCTTCACGAAGGCGGACATGAAGCCCAGCTTGACGCCGTGCTTCTTCAGGAAGGCATCCTTGTGCACCTTTCTCATTTCCTGCATGTTGCTGTGGGGACAGACAGCAGCACGGTCACATGACTGTGGCCAGTTAAAAGGGCGACAATCAAAGATTCCACCACTGCGCCAAATGTTCTGGGCCTTGGCAGCAGATGAGGCCATTACGTCGGTACCTGGTCAACCTGGGTTCATCTCTCCTTCTCCGGGGAGAAAAAAAAAGAAAACAGGAATACAAGTACTGGGGTTTAATTGTTTATTTTCCTGCCTGTAACTTCGTTTAAACTCTAGGGTTACGCCGCTAACGGCATTAGCCCCTCCCAAGACACGCACTCTCCGAGAAAGGAGAGAAGAAGCGATAAAAATCTTCACTTCTGAAAACCCGACAAATGCTATTGGCTTGCCCTAAAAGCCTATTCCGTTTCAGGCCACGCTTCCAGCCGGCGGGCCGGTCTCTGCGGGCTGCCGCCCTCGCCGTGGCCTCCTAACCTGGCTCCTTCCTTGGCCTTCAGATTAGCGGTGGTCCTGGGGAAGTCTCCCTATGGCCCGTCAATGCCAATTGGATTACGACACATAGCAAACCCCAAATAGATGAAAGATGACACCCATGTTTGCTCTTGGAAGAAAAGCAGAGAGTGCGGTCTTCAGGCACAGGAGGGGAGGGGGGGACAAAACAATAGCTGACATTTCCTGATAAATTAATAAAGCTTGTTTTACCAATTGTATCTGTTTTACTGGCATTAGGACCAAATATTTACATCGGCCTGTTTAAGAAGGTATTATATTTCAAAAAGCTCTTCCTCTGGGGCGAGTCGACCCACGCAAATGTTCGCTAAAAGTGTTCCTTCGACGATACATATTAGTGCTAACAGCTAAAGTGTTTTTTCTTCCCCCCCAGCATGCGACAGCGATCTCCCATTTCACCGAGTGCAAATCTGGTGCGAAAATTTGTCGGCATCTCAGTTTTTAATCTTGCAAGTTGCAAGGCGTCACTCCCATTACAGCGGGTGGGACTGGGGGCAGCAAAAGAGCT